GTGGTGTGTTCAGATAAACTCAGTTTGTATCAAAATGTTACAGAATTGTCATATTACAAGACCAGTCTCAAATCATGTTGCTTATGCAAAATGTTCTTCTTACGAGCATTTTTCTTTTTTTCTCCTTTTTTTTAAGTTTACTGCACTCAAAGATGACTGCCAGTGGTTCTGAGATCACATCTGCCAGTTCTTTTAATACTCTTGGGTGCAGTTCATCTGGCCCTGGAGACTTGAATACATCTAAACTAGCCAAGTATTCTTGTACTATCTCCTTAGTTATTCTGGGCTGTGTTTCCTTTGCTGAATCATTTGCTCCAAATTCTTCAGGTCGGGCATTGTTTTCTTTATCGGAGAAGACTGAGGCAAAGAAGGCATTGAGGAGTTCAGCTCTTTCTGTGTCCCCTGTTTGCATTTCACCATCTTCTCCTCTGAGTGACCCCACTGTTTCTTTGTTCTTCCTTTTGCTACGGACATACCCATAAAAGCCTTTTTGTTGCTTTTAACCTCTCTAGCAAGCCTGAGTTCATTCTGTGCTTTAGCTTTTCTGACTTTGTGTCTACACGTGCTGGCTATTTGTTTGAATTCCTCTTTGGTGGTTTCCCCCCTTTTCCATTTTTTGTACACATCCTTTTTTAATCTTAACTCAGTTAAAAGTTCTTTACATAGCCACCCTGGCTTCTTTAGGCACCTTCCATGTTTCTGTCTCATTGGTATTGCCTGACATTGTGCTTTTAGTATCTCCCTCTTAACAAACTCCCAGCCATCATGAACTCCCTTTCCTTTTAGTATTACTGTCCAGTACTGCTGCTGGAGTTTGCATCCAGTTTATAGTGCTATCTGTTGTCTGGGTTTCCATATAGGCAGATGTCTAAGCCTTAATACATTACAAAATGGATAGTTAGAAGCCATCAGTAGAGGGTTTGTTTGTTGTTGATGATGATGGTTGTTTTTTTGCCATTGCAATCATGCTTTGCAGGAAGCTTCCAATTGGACTATTTTCCCAGTTACTGTGGAAAATGGATATGACTACATCTATTCTACACTCAACATTTTTTAATTGACTAATGAAGAGCTGGAAGGGAGTAACACACCCCCCCATACACACACACCTATTTTAACATATGCATAATCCCAAACCCCTGAGATCTGGAAGGGGAAAACTCATGGGTCACAATGACACCTATCCACCACTTAATGCACATCTGCAGCATTTGGTGATAATGCTCATGAGTTGGATGCAGAGTGTCTCTTACATGAATGGAAGGGGCTGAGATCTAGTGGAGAATCCTGCTGGAATGAGGGTGGTAGTTTCCTCTCTTTGTGCCATGTCCCACACTGTTCTACAGGTACTTCCAACTCTCATTTTTCAAGATTTTGTGAAGGGAGGGTATGAGGAACCGATGAAAATAGACTCCCCCCTCTTCCCTGGGCAGGAGCATTTCCTGAGTGGAATTCTGTCAGACTTATGGACCCAAGCCTGTGATTTCACCCATTACTACTAAAATCCACGGCAGGTGTAAATGTGAACATTTATAAAACATTGGAGGAGTTTCAACTGGACAGTGTAAAGTATACATATTGTCAAATGTTAGTTCTTTCCATTTCAATAAAGCCAAGATGCTAACTAGTCTCTGGTGGAAAAGAACAGCAAATGTTTCTCCCTCTTGTGAAATGTACACAGTGCATATATTCTTCCAAAATAAAACCACCATGTTTCATGTATTGTGAGCAAATTGGAATGAATCTTTAAAGGCATGAAGTGACTACGTAGGCTTGCTATCCTTAAAACTGTATCATGTGCATTTGAGCAGGTTTATATGGTATGGAAGCCAAATGTTCTTCCTGTTTCTAGGAACAGAATTCCCTTTCCATGCAGTCGCTTTGATCTGACAATTTTTTATTGGGGCATTTTACGTTCTTCTGAGAAAGATGTGGCACAATATGCTTCCAGACATGATGCTAACCTAAAAATCAATGGACAGTAGTTCTCTAGAATTGGACCATAATGTTATATTGATAAATCTATTTTTGTACTGCCAGTTTGAGTTTTTCAAATGTATTGAATATTTTGAATAACTGTCCAAGGGTAAATATCATACTTTCCTCAAAGTAAAGACCTTCCATTCATGTAAGTCACATGAATATCTCTTTGAGAATGTAACTGAACACTTTGCATTGAAATGTGAGATGCCTACAGAGCATCCCAGGGCAAACATTGTTATAATTTGCTGGCATAACCTGAGCTGCTGGTAATCCTTTGAAGTTAAATTGACTTCAGACAGCTTTTCTTTTCTCCTTGTAATCCATTGCAGAGTTCAAACCTTGATTTTTACTATATCAGGAAATTGTCTATAAAAGAGTAGGTTTTGTCTCAAGGTGTTTGCTCTAAAAGGATGCATGTTAAGTCGCTAAAAAAAGTTCTATGGCATTACTTCCAGGAACACGTTTCTCATGAATGTGTTTTACCTGATTTTTTTGCCTGATACACAGAGAAACTATCCCATGGTCATTGATAATGACAAGGTTGCAGACAGTTAGCACAGTGATGTCAGAAATACTCAGACATATTATTATCAGTTGCTAAAATAAAGCACAGAAGCTAAGTGCAGTGGTGCACAGCCCAAGGCTTGGGCTGGGCCAGTTTTATGGATTTAAATTTAGTTCAGAGGGAAAGCAGATAGTTAGTGTGTTCTTTAGCTATAATCAGCAAAAGAGGAAACGGCTATCTGTAAAATGTAGATACTCAAAAGATACACAATCATTACAAGAAGGGGTGATAATCTGGAAGTTATTCTTCTGCAGTAGCCTTCCCCAACTTGGTGCCCTCCATGAATTTTGGACTTCAGCTCCCATCAGCCCCAACCAGCACTGCCATGCCACCAAAATCTGGAGGGCACCAGGCTAGTGAAGCCTGTGTTGCAGCATTTAGTTTACAAGTATTTGTGGGCTTCCCACAGGCATCTAGTTGGCCAATGTGAGAATAGGACGCTGGACAAGATGGGCCATTGGCCTGATCCAGTAGGATCTTTTCGGGATCTTATGAAATGGATTTCAGGTGTATTAGTTTTTAAACAATGGGGTGAAAACAAGCACATTTCCCCGATTATAGCAGAGTTTAAATTCACCAAGAATGATTATTGCTTATTTATATAAGATATTTATGTCCCCACCCCCTCCATAATATTTACTCTGGGTCATTTGCTATGTAATTTTAAACAAACAATAATAAAATAGGCAATTAAGGCTGCAGTCTGTAGCCACTTAGCTGACAATGAACTACAGTGGTACCTCAGGTTAAGTACTTAATTCGTTCTGGAGGTCCGTACTTAACCTGAAACTGTTCTTAACCTGAAGCACCACTTTAGCTAATGAGGCCTCCTGCTGCTGTCGCGCCGCCAGAGCCCGATTTCTGTTCTCACCCTGAAGCAAAGTTCTTAACCTGAAGCACTATTTCTGGGTTAGCGGAGTCTATAACCTGAAGCGTATGTAACCTGAGGTACCACTGTAGTGGATACTCCCTCCGGAATAGATATGTACAGGACTGCACTGGACAAGTAATAAACAATCCTCTGCTCTCTGGGAGGGTGGCTGAGGGGCTGCAAGATGCTGTGGGCACCCTGTTCTGTGGGTGAAGAGGGAGATCTGCAGGCAGAGGCCTCCCTGGTACGGTGGTGGAGAGCTCTGGAGCCATTGATCTTCCACGGTGAGTGCTCCACGAACAATTTGTCCACAAATGGGGTGTGTCAGGGATGGATCAGGGGACACTTTGGAATGGATCCAAAGTCCCCTTCTTCCCCTGGCATCTTCCCCTGGCATCTTCTGCCAGCTCTGGAGCTGTTATAGCTGTTTCTGTCTCATTGGTATGAATGGGAACTGTGAATGGAAAAGGCCACTCTCGTGTACTCACTCCTCTTTCTCCCTGGCTGCTGTGAGCCAGCAGGACTTAGGAAGTAGTGGCTCCTCTGTGATGGAATCCCCCCACCACCAGCTTTTTTGAACTGGTCTGTAATATAATTATTATTATTATTATTATTATTATTATTATTATTATTATTTTATTTTGGTTCTACCCTGCTCATATGGCTGGGTTTCCCCAGCCACTCTGGGCAGTTTATGGCATATCTAAAAATATAATAAAAACACCAAGCATTAAAAACCTCCCAATACAGGGCTGCCTACAGATGTCTTCTAAAAGTTGTGTAATTATTTATCTCCTTGGCATCTGAAGGGAGGGCATTCCCCAGGGAGGGTGCCACTACCAAGAAGGCCCTCTGCCTGGTTCCCTGTAACGTGACTTTTTGCAGTGAGGGAACCAGCAGAAGACCCTCAGAGGACGACCTTAGTGTCCGAAAGGGGGTGGAGACATTTCTTCAGGTATATGAACATATTAGAAGATTTTGAGATAGCAAAAGTAAACATTCCCGTACTCTCTTATCTGCCTTTGGCCCAGAGAGAAAACAACATCTAGAAGGCCACTTGCACTGACGCGAGATCCATTATCTTCTTGTACAGAGATATCCCTATAATATTAATGTGTTAGTCATATAGAAGAACAGTAAAGCTACGTATATCTTCATATTGTGATGCATTACATGGAGAGATTGGAAAAGGCCAAGGGGCATTGTGCCAGAGACAACAATTGGATAAGGAACAGGAAAGTCAGACAGCAGTATTGCGTACCATGGGAAAAGGTTTCTAAATATGTTATTGCAATTTGCTGCTCTAATGTGGACAAATGTTCAGTACAGCCTCTTCTATAATGATCATTTGGACACCGGACCTTCAACTGTAACCCATGAATTATGTTACTTTTAAGTCCCGTATGGTATCCTGTTCCAGTTTTGGCAATGAGAAATAGAGAGGGGAAGAGAGCCAAGGTCATAACACTGTTTTTCCTTAGCCAATAGACCACCTACTGGGAGCTACTGCTTTAACTGTAATGAGCGCCTTTCCTTTACTGTACTACCCATCCGCACCAATGTTATGTAATGTTACAGGTAGCAGGTAGTTCAGATGGTAGAACATGAGATTCTTAATCTTAGGGTTGTGGGTTCGAAGATTCCTGCATTGCAGGGGGTTGGACTAGATCACCCTTGTGGTCCCTTCCAACTCTACAGTTTTAGGTATTAACGTACCCCTTTATAAACGGAATTTCTGCTGATCTAGCAGGTAGTGTTGGCTAAGGAGCACTTCACCCATTGTACATTTCTGCCTCTTCTATAATGTACATTGAGCACCTTTGGCTAAAAAAAGGCATACTTTGTGTTTCTTTCACTTGTTTCAGAGGCACAGCAGAACCATTTGTATAATATCCAGCTCCACATACGTCCCCAAACAAACTCGTTCATTCTATAAGAAAATTGTGTCATATTTCCATTCATACATCTGTTCTTAGCCAAAGGGCTAATCCAACTCGGAATGGATTTCTTTCTTTCCCCTCTAGGTCACAGAGACCTGTGGCAAATTGTCCACTGTGACATAGTCAGCCTCTGCAACATATTGTGGGGAAGAAGAGAAACTACTTGTGTTACAATGGCATTTCTAAAACTGTAGGTCTTGTAGCTGAATGTAGTCAGCATTGAGCTTCATGAAGATAGTTCTGCAAATATTGTCATATTGTGGGTCCTATTTTTTTAAAAAATATGTTTAAGTATGAAGAAAGTCACATTTCAAACCATTTTTTAAATGTAGCACCTCAATGTATAATCTTTATGGACATTTAAATCTGACTCTCCCATGTTCCAAACCACCACTCTTCTTACTTCACCATAAAACAGCATCATAAAACTACCGCAGACGAGGTCTGTGCTTGAACCGCTTTTATGAAATGTAAAATGAATAGACGAAATGGACAAATAGTTGAAAACTTTCCTTCATCACTCGGTTGCTACCTTCCTCTGTATTTTGCAGAAGTCATGTGCCAGTCCACCTTGTGCTGATCAAGGCTCATTTATAAGTGTAAATATGGCTTATTTGGTAGAACTGTCTATATACTTTAGGTTGAAGTAATGAAAACTCCTCTGGCTGAAACTCAACCACCTACACCTTAGGAGGCCACAAAAAATGGAAGTGCAAGAATATTTCAGTCTCCTTGCTTTGGAAATGATTTCTAAAGCCAAAATTCAACCACAGGACTGTGACAAACCCAAAGTTAAACACTTTTGAGTCCCATTGATTTATAATGGTAGAGATTTAAGCACACATTTCTCTTTCCCTTTGAAACTAACTGAATCTTAATGAGCTTTGGCCCTTAATTTTGGACCAAGGGTTAGCTGTCTTAGCATTACATGGAGTGCATTCTACCCATTTCCTTGCCTTCTTTGTCTCCCCCCCCCATTTTGTTTTCTGTGTCTGTAGTGTTTCTAATTATACCTATTTTAAAAAAATCTCACAGCTTTATTGAATACTTACAGACTTTACAGTATTTTCTTCCCCTTTGCCTTTTATTCTTCTTTATCTGGAATATGTATTAATGATCCTTTCTAACCCCATTGCTCCCTTTTAAATGTTTATTTGTTCTACTTGCCTTGTGGGCAAGTCCTGTTGTATTTCACCCGGTTTTCCCCAGATGTGTTTTCTTTCTTCTACTCAAGCCTTTTTTTCTATTCTTCTCTCTAGAATTACTCTTTATGACTACCAAGCCATGTGCAAAACAACCAAAGAAAGTAGCGACAGCGCCCATAGCTTACTGGATGTAAGTACAGTTCACATGAACATCCCTGCATTGTTGCTGAGAGAGAGAGAAAAAATGCAGTATATGTGTGTCATCTTTATGTTACAAATCTTCTCAGAAGCCTCAGAAGTCTTCTCAGATTGCCTTTCAGCGCTATTCCATATCACGAGAAAAATGGTTTGGAATAAATCAAGGCAAATGGGTTGTATTCATCTTAGCCCTCCTCAGAGTAGACCCACTGAAAATAATGAACCTAACTTCAATGGGTCTACTCTGAGTAGGACTAGTGTTGCATACCACCCAGTGTGATCCACATTTGCTATTTCAGAACACTCTACAGTAGCATTTTCTCCCAGACTAGCACTAAAGCTTTGTCGCTGTCTTAGTCTGTTATGAACACCTGCTTTCTGGAGTTTGTAAATTGCCTATAAACATTTGCTATATTTTAAATTATGAGGGGAATTTCAATAGCCCACAGCTTAACATTAAAACCAACAACACTTCAGCCATTAATGAACAATAGATTCATTTTCTAAGCATCTAACTTGTAGACCTACAAAAAGGGTTCTTCCTCCAGATGCACCTTTATTAAAATTATAAAGAGAGAGGCCTAGTGTATTTTGAGCCTCAGGATTTTCTGCAAGATTTGTGAGTATGGTTAATGAATGGAAGGGGAGCAGATTGTTTGGGTTCAGGGAGGACTGGGGGGGGGAGAGAAAAACTGGTAGCCCCATTGCACAAGCATATTTTCATCGTGCAAGCCGACTGCCACAACTGCAAAATGGCAGTTATATAGCATGAATATTTTTAATTCACTTGCAATAGAATCCTTGCCTATTTATTAGTCTTCAGTGTGATGGTTGCTAAAATTGTCAACAGAATATGAGTAGAATTCTGCAAAATTATGAAGCTCTGTAGATTAGGAAGCTTAGTTTTGTACCTACCATTTCCTAAATTTGAAAACACAAAGTGATGGAAGCAAACCAAACCTTCACCATTTATTATATACAATGAAATGGAATATTTTTTGGCTTATGATTGAGTATTTTGAAAGAACTGAGAAATAGACTTAAGTATTTTCTTCAGTTTTGGGTGATTTTTCTTCAGAAGCAAAATAAAAAGGAAAAAAAGTCGCAATGGAAAGAATTTTATTTTCTACCTCAGCCTAACCTTCATTAGAAATCCTTAACTTCACTGTTTTATGATCCATCATGTTCTTTTTAGACTGGAAAAAGTAAGGTAAAGAAATATACAAGGTTTTGTTTTCTACTTTTTTATTTCACTTACTGCTGTACATTAGGTTTCAGAGTTAATCATTTCAGGTAGACGTCATCACTGGGAGATGTCTGATGGTGTCTTTTCCTCTGACAAAATGTATCCACTAGTAGATTCCTCATCCTTCCTCCAGATCTTTGCACTTCCCAGAATCTGCTCAAGCCTGGGAAATAGTAGCCACTGAACAATAAAAAAATCAAATATCCCTTTTATTCATTTCCCTTCTGGGCCACTGATTATATTGATCCTCATTTGTTAAAAAATGTATTACAAAACTAACCGAACCACAAAATCTTGAAGGGGTGGTATTTACCACCAAAAGACTATATGTTCTTGAAATATTACATAAATCCATCACTTGGTACACTTAAATATTATATATTCTAGTCTTTTGATTAAACAAATTGCTTCTCTCCAGCCTTATAAAGCTTTCTTTGCTGCAATAAAATGGATTGTGACTGAACTTGTCTTGTAAGTAACACTTACTAAGATTTGAAGATTATTTGTACCTTTCCATCTTGCATGTTTTTTCATGTATACAGCAATTTGCATCGATTTTCAAATCTCCTGCGCATAATTTCAGAACATGCTTAAAACCTGTTTTTGTGATGTAGTCATTTCCAACATGCAAACTAAATTTATTATTGTGGTTGCAGTTAAATCTAATATGAATATTTGGCTGTTTCCAGTGCTGCTTGGGTGGGCTGTTCCCAACCAAGTATCCTTTTTCAGAGGATCTTCTGTTCTGCAGTTTCATAAGGGAGTCAAACACATAGGCTGTCACACGTGAAGCTTATGCAAGCTCTGTCTGTGTTTCTTGCATTATAATAAATTATTGTCATCATCTAATAATGAAAATGGACGAAAGCTTGAGTAGGCAGCGCTCCTAAGCAGTTCAACCACACTAAGATTGTACAAAACACCGTTAACATTTTTATTATAATCTTATCTGCAGACCAAGGAATATATGATTGACCTGGTTTTGCAGACTCCCAGCATGCAGTTTTAAAGCTGAATTTCTTGAATGGAGCAAAGAAAAAAAATGTGTGGGTGTGTTTGCTAATTGCCAATGAAAATCTTTGTAAAATTCAAAATCAAAACTTAGTGATCACTAAGATCAAGTTGAACAAAGCAATCTGCACCCTACATAGTTATGATCAAAAACATACTGTTTTTTATAGCAAGGATGGATGCTGGACTACAACTTCCATCATCCCTGACCATAGATCAAATTGGTTGGGGCTGATGGGAGTTGAAGTCCAGTAACATCTAGGATGCCAGTGTCATACCATAGCGTAGAATGAAGGCTAGAATTGGAATAATGTCGTCATTTCTTCTTTTATACCATAGCAATGAAGGTTTGTAAAGGGACGCGGGTGGTGCTGTGGGTTAAACCACAGAGCCTAGAACTCGCCGATCAGAAGGTTGGCGGTTCGAATCCCCGTGACAGGGTGAGCTCCCGTTGCTCGGTCCCTGCTCCTGCCAACCTAGCAGTTTGAAAGCACATCAAAGTGCAAGTAGATAAATAGGTACCACTCCGGCGGGAGGATAAACAGCATTTTCGTGCGCTGCTCTGGTTCGCCAGAAGCAGCTTAGTCATCTTGGCCACATGACCCAGAAGCTGTACGCCGGCTCCCTCGGCCAATAAAGCGAGATGAGCACCACAACCCCAGAGTCGGCCACGACTGGACCTAATGGTCAGGGGTCCCTTTACCTTACTAATGAAGATTTGTACCATAGCAATGGAATTTTAATACAGTAGCAATGAAAGTTCAATCTACATATTACCGTATTTTTCGCCCTATAGGACGCACCGTCCCATAAGGCGCACCTAGTTTTTTGGGGGGGAAATAAAGGGAAAAAAATTATTTCCCCCCCAGGCGCAGGGCTGGGGCGGGGGAAGCCCGAGCTTCCTCCGACCCCAGCCCCCAAACAGGCAGCTCTCTGCAAGCCGTGGGAGCCCAGCGCTGGCTCCCGCTACTTGCAGAGAGGTCCACGAAGCCTGGACGTGCTGAGCTCAGCGCGCGCAGGCTTCAGCATGCAGGCAACTCTCCGTAAGCAGCGGGAGCGCTCCTGCTGCTTGCTGAGAGGTCCACGAAGCCTGGACACGCTGAGCTCAGCGCG